TCAGGTTTCTTCATATCTAACACAATCGAAGGACATCTGTTTATTAGATATGTTGCTGCCGAAACAGCCTTAGCCCAAAACACATTCTTTAATCCAACACTAGTCAACATGCATCTAACTCTTTCCAAAATAGTTCGATCAACCCTTTCTTCCAAACCATTTTGTTGTGGAGTACCTGCAATAGTTTTGTGCCTTTCAATACCCGAGGCAGCACAAAAACTTTTGAACGCCTCATTACAAAATTCAAGGCCATTGTCGGTTCTCAACCTCTTGACCTTTCTGCCAATCTGATTTTCGACCAGATTCTTCCAACCTTTGAAATTCTCAAAAGTTTCATCCTTAGCCTTCTGGATGAATATCCATAACATCCTAGAATAATCATAAACTATGGATAGAAAATACCTTGCTCCTGAATGTGATGAACACCTTACAGACCCTTAAGATCAACATGGATGTAATCAAGGGATCCATGGGTTCTTTGTTTGCCTTTGTTAAACTTCAATCTGCAAGATTTTCCAAGTACAGAGGGTTCACAAAATTTTAGCTTTTCGACCTTGTCTACTCTAAGCAGATTTTGTTTCCCTAATTCGACCAGACCCCTTTCACTGACATGGCCTAATCTCATGTGCCAAATTTCTTTTTTCGACAACGCTTTTGTGGATGCAATATTTGTCAAACTACTTACAACTTCAACCTCAAGGGTATCCAAGTTTTGTTCCTTCGAGACTTCCTTCGACCCCTTCATGACTCTTAGGATACGTTTCTTCCCTTGAAAAACATATCCCTTCCTGTCGAATTCACCAAGAGAAATCAAATTTCTCTTCAAATCAGGTACATATCTGACTTTAGTTAATAACCTTATTGACTCATCATGGAGCTTGAATCTCACAGATCCAATACCTGCAATTTTGTAAGCTTTGTTGTTTCCCAGCAACACTGATCCACTATCTTGATTACATAGCTCCTCGAACAATTATCTATTTGGAGTCATGTGCCAAGTGCAACTTGAATCCATAATTCACTCCTTTCTTGAGTTGTCGCTTAAAACCACAAGAACATCATGTTAGAACACAGATTGGTTCTTAGTTATATCTCTATGTTTTGATGATAACACTAATGAAATTTTGCATTAAGAAATTATATACTCTAAATTTGTTCAAGTATTTTTGCTGCAGATACTAAAGTTTAAATTCTTCTGAAAGCAAAAATGGATCTGAACGTTGAACTACGCAAGACTCTGAGCGCTGCCTACAGAAGACACTGAAGCAGAAGCTACAGAAGCATCTGAAGCGTAGACTGAAGACTTTGTATGAGGAGTTTCAAGCACTGTTTTTCAGAAGACTCTGATAGTACTGTTCGCTGCAAGTACTAAGGATTTGATCTCCAAACTCTGCTCTGATTAATTTCACGCTGAAGCACACTTACTGCAACACTCTGATACAGCAAACTCTGAAGACATCAAGACTCTGATCACTCAAGGCTCTGATGTTGATTGTTGTGAATTAGAAACTTGTTGAAGAAGATTATTCAAAGTTATATCCGTTGGTTATGCCAAACGACTCTTTCCTCTTTTATGCTAGACACAAGAACTCAGGAAAAAGGGATTTCTCTGAACGTTCTACTTCTAGGAAAGGTCAAGAGATGTGAAGACAAAAGGCTACAACTACTTTGCAGTACACGGTCTTCAAGCTTGCAACGTCTTGGACTTCTTCATCTATAAAAGCAAGCCTTCAAGAACTTTCTTCAGTTGACGTATTTTGACAAATTCATTGAAAACTCTCTCAAAGCTCTCATACAAATTATTATTTCTTTGTTGAATAGTTTCATACGTTCTTAAACTTGAGTATAAACCACAGTTGTGATATAGCTTTCTTAGAAGCATTTCAAACACTTGTTTAGCTTACATTTGATTGTAAAAGTTCCTTGAGAAGACCATGTTGTGGTCAGTAGTTCTTGAGAAGATTAAGACAATTGTTCTTAGTGGTTGATATTGTAATCAATTGATTATAGTGGATTAAGTCCTTATGGAGAAAGGCAAATCACTCTTGATAGGGTGGACTGGATTAGTTGAGTTCAACGAACCAGGATAAAAATTATTGTGTTTTTACTGCCATAATATTTTCTAAATTCTTATTCAACCCCCCTTCTAAGTATTTTCTCACCTTCACATCAAATGAGTCGAAGTCATCTTGAACAATGGTTGTGTTGCCATTATCCTTACCTCCATGATCTTCAGCCGTTCAGAGCACATCTTTCTTGTGTGACCCTTCTTCTTACAGTGATAGCATCAAATACCAAATGTCTCGTCACTATAAGACTTCTGTTGACTTTTACCTTTCTTCTTGTCGAACTTACTATCCTTTCGCAAGAATTTTCCTTTAACGGCCAAACCTTCACCATCGTCGAAGGTTATGCTCCTTTCCTTTGTTTAAGTCCTTAGAATACAAGGCTGATTGAACTTCTTCAAAGCTCAGGGACTCCCTTCCATACATGAGAGTTTCTTTGAAGTGAGCATGTATTATGGGCAAAGCGCACAACAATAACAATGCTTGATCTTCATCATCGATCTCCACATCAATATTTTCAAGATCAAGAATCAACATGTCGAACATATCCAACTTCTCAGCCAACACTTTGTCTTCACTCATCTTGAATGAATACAAAGCTTGCTTCAAGTAGAGTCGATTCACCAGAGATTTGGTCATGTACAAACTTTCAAGTTTCAACCATAACCCCGATGTCGTAGTCTCCTTTGATACCTGTTGAAGAAGCTTATCACCAAGTCTCAACAATATTGCGCTGTGGGCTTTCTCTATTATGACCGTCTTTTCTTTTTCCGTTAATGCAACGTCCATGGCTGTCTCTCCCTTCAACGCTTCCAAACAACCCTGCTGAACCAGTAGGGCTTTCACCTTCAAACGTCACAGACCGAAATCGTTCACTCCGGTGAACTTTTCAATCTCATACTTTGTTGAAGGCATCTTCTCCATGCTCACCGCACCAATTTGTTATGAATTAGGATGCCTTAAAAAAATTTCTCAGTTTCTTTATGATCAATAAACACACAAGGGTTAGGGTTAAGGAAAAACAAGGAGAACAACAAGGATTGGTTATAACTGTTATTCTTTACTTTCTCTATAAAACAGATTACAAATACTCAAGAATAACAAATAACCCTCTCACCCTAATTAGGTTTTGTCACACCACACTTAAGATGAGAGACTAGTATGTTATTTATAATAAAATATAACATACTAAACTAATGAGCTTTTTAACAGTTATCCATTACAAGCTAACTTAGGGTACAAGCTAACTTAAACAATTGGATCTTTAACAAAAGGCCCAATTCGGCAACTACATACTAGAACACAATTAGACTACAATATATAAGTCTTCGACAACAACATGTGAGCAGACTTCAACGGCATGCTAACTAGAGTTCGATCCAGTATCTCCCAGTATGTAATAAAAAGCGGTTGTGATTTAGTATACAATTTTTCAAATAATTATTTTATTAATTATTAATATTAATTAATGTCTCAACTAATGTGTATTAATTGAGTTAAATGAGTAAAAATTATCAATTTCAATCTATGGCAACAATATATATATATATATATATATATATATATATATATATATATATATATATATATATATATATATATATATATATATATATATATATATATATATATATATATATATATATATATATATATATATATATATATATATATATATATATATATATATATATATATATATATATATATATATATGTGTGTGTGTGTGTGTGTGTGTGTGTGTGTGTGTGTGTGTGTGTGTGTGTGTGTGTGTGTGTGTGTGTGTGTGTGTATTGTTGATATTTATAAATTAATATTTAAAGAAAAATTACCACTACTAATATTCTTCTCGATCTATCTAAATAAATTACAGAATGAATTGTGATATTAGTTTTATTGATAAGTTTACAAATTTAAGAGATATGATTAATTGATATTTATGTAAAGTATATATTACTGATTATAGTAATTATGTACCATAATTAAAAATAATAGTAATTTTTTAGTTTATAAGTATAACAACTTAATATAATACATCATTAAAAGAATCTACAAAACACATAGTTTACATTAATGGAGTTCAATTAACACAACTACCAAAAATTTGATAAAAAAATAATTAATACTCCCTCTGTCACGAATAAATATATTAAGATTTTCAATTATAAAATAATAATTATTTATTAAAATAATTTTATTAATAATAAATATTAGAGTAGTCATATAATTTAAAATATAAGAAATAAGGATAAATAAATGTAAAGAAATAATAAATATTACATTAATATTTTAAAAAACAAATAATTTAAAACAAATAAAAATATAGAATATAACATCTATTGTGAGACAGAGAAAACATATTTTAAACTTTGTAATAGTCTTATAAAAGGAGAAAAAAAAAGTAAAATAAAAAGTGAACTATAATCTTATAAAAAGAGAAAAAAAAGTAAAATAAAAAGTGAACTATGAACGTTTTTATGTTTTAGCTTTATGAAATTATTTATTCTTTTTATTTTCAAAAATAATTTTTATAAAACTGTCTTAAAATAGTAAGTTATTTTAAACTTTTTTTTATAAAAAAAACTAATTTTGACATAAAGTAACATAAATATATATTATTATTATTATTGAATATTAAAACATAATTAAAATTGTATTTTTTTAAAACAAAAAATATAACAATATGAAAATAATTTTTAAAAAAATGAAATAAACGGATAAAAACACAAATGATGTATTAACAAAAGAATTAATAAATAAATAACATTTAATCATTGAACCAATAATTATTTTAAGAACTGTTGAACACTCAGAAAATGAGACTGGGATATTATCTCAGGTTATAAATACAGCAACACCAATCACAAAATTTCAAGCAGCAGTATCACAAAAAAATTCAAGCAGCAGTATCACAAAAAAATTCAAGCAGCTAAGATGGCCACTTTTGATAAAAACTTACTTCTAAATTATGTTCCAGTTTATGTAATGCTCCCAGTAAGTCATCATACACAAACCAGTGTGTTTCTAAGCTACCAAATTCAAACATTTTAAACATAAAACATAAATAAACAACTAACTAGCTCATAAATACATTTGCTTGTGTGTGTGTGTTTATTGACTAATATTTAACATGTTTTCTTTAATTTTTCTCTGTAACATTTTTTTTTTAGCTTGGAGTTGTTAGTGTTGATAATGTCTTGGAAGATCCAGAGGGTATTAAAGAACAGCTGGTGAAGCTACGAGCAGCGGGCGTCGATGGTGTTATGGTTGATGTCTGGTGGGGGATCATTGAAAAAAATGGACCTAAGCAGTATGATTGGAGTGCTTACAGAAGCTTGTTTCAGCTTGTTCAAGAAACTGGTTTGAAACTGCAAGCTATCATGTCATTCCATCAATGTGGAGGGAATGTAGGGGATGTTGTAACCATCCCAATTCCACAATGGGTACTTGACATTGGAGAATCAGATCCTGATATTTTCTACACCAACCGTTCCGGTACTAGGGACAAGGAGTATCTGACTAATGGTGTAGATAACAAGCCTATCTTTCATGGAAGAACAGCCATTGAGGTTGGTTCAACATTGATCTCGGCTATCAGATCTAAATCAGTGGTCGAGATCAGTTAAAATTAATTTAATGAATATGTAATTTGAGCTACTGGATCTAAAGTCAATGGCTTAGATTTAAAACTGTGAAAAAAATTGCTGCAGCTGATTAGTTACTATAGCGCGTTTAAATAAAGTTCTTTTCTTTACACAGGTATATAGTGATTACATGAAGAGTTTCAGAGAAAACATGTCAGATTTTTTAAAATCAGAGGTTATTATAGACATTGAAGTTGGCCTTGGTCCAGCAGGAGAACTCAGATACCCGTCCTATCCTCAAAATCAAGGATGGGTATTTCCTGGAATCGGAGAATTTCAGGTGATTATGACCTTGCTTTCAAACAAAATTGTTTCTGGAATTTCAATTCAGCACTAAGATTATAATCTACAAAAAAATTTGAAATTATGCAGTGTTATGACAAATATTTGAAGGAAGATTTCAAATCGGCTGCAGCGATTGCTGGCCATTCTGATTGGGAACTACCAGATGACGCTGGCACATACAATGATGTACCAGAATCTACTGAATTCTTCAAAACAAATGGCACATACCTTACCAAGAAAGGGAAATTCTTCTTAACTTGGTACTCTAACCGATTGCTGAATCATGGTGATCAAATCCTAGATGAAGCTAACAAAGCTTTCCTTGGCTGTAAAGTCAAACTAGCAATCAAAGTATATTTCATAAAACAACAATTAATTAAAGACAGTAGTTAGTTACGTTTGCTTTTTCCTGATAAATTAACCTCTAACAATGATAAAGGTTTCTGGAATCCACTGGTGGTACAAAGCTCCGAATCATGCTGCTGAACTCACTGCTGGATATTACAACCTTGATGATCGAGATGGATACCGTCCCATTTCTAAAATCGTGTCCCGTCATCACGGCATTATGAACTTTACATGTCTTGAGATGAGGGACACGGAACAAAGCTCTGATGCACAAAGTTCACCACAGAAACTTGTTCAGCAAGTAATTCATTACAAATTTCATTAGTTTGATGCATTGCTTGTTCCACATGTTCAATATGATGTGAAATGAAAAATGTTGTGCAGAAGTGGTAATTAAATTGAAAAACATGAATATATGCACAGGTATTGAGTGGAGGTTGGAGAGAAAACATTGAAGTTGCTGGAGAAAACGCACTTTCAAGGTATGATGCCACAGCTTATAACCAAATCCTACTGAATGCAAGACCACAAGGTGTCAACAAAGACGGCCCTCCAAAACTTCGGATGTATGGAGTAACATACCTTCGTCTATCGGAAGATTTATTGCAACAATCAAATTTTGACATATTCAAAAAATTTGTGTTAAAGATGCATGCAGATCAGGTGAACAAATAATATTTTTGAACTTGTCTTAAGTTTAATAATCACTCTGCTGCTCCTTAACCCTTTCACCTCAAATTGTAGGATTACTGTGAAGATCCTCAAGAGTACAATCATGGCATACCACCATTAAAGCGATCGGAACCAAATATTCCTGTTGATGTTCTTCTTGAGGCAACTAAGCCAATAGCGCCGTTCCCTTGGGATTCAGAAACAGACTTGAAAGTTGATGGCTAACTTCCCGATTTGACAGGAAGAATGAAAGAATGATTATGGCACCGGTCGAAGTAATATCTATCTACTGCTTGGGAGTTTCATAATGCACCTACATGTGCTATGCAAATAATATTTGAATAATGAAGCAAGTCTAGACATCTCGACATTTCTTCTTGTGTGTTTTTTTTTTTTTGCGTTTTCCTATCTGCAAGTTTAATAAGCCGTGTTTTATCGAGAAATGCAACTCCGCTTATAAAGAAATTAATATTATTACTATCTCCATAAAAGTGAAAAAATATATTCAAATAGCATATTGCTTTTTTTTCATAATCCTCTTACAAAAGTGTATATTTTTGTCACCATATCACTTAAATATTATATTGTGATCATATGAAGTTAAATTAAATTCTTAATCTTATGATAATTATGATGGCCCAAATAATTCATCTTATAACTAACTCAGTTGTTGAATTCTATAATTGAATGACAGGATCGGCCAGAACCGAGATTTGACTCAGTTCACACTCGAGTTTTGAGTTATTAAAACACAAATTGTTACAAAAGATGATGCAATAAAGACAGCCTAAAACATTACCATTACTAAAAAAACTTGCAAATTGCTTATATTTGTTAGGACTTGACAAGTCGATGTGAATTTTATGAGAGAATTAATATTGTTGTATTCACAGAACCAATCAATCTCCGAAGACGTTATGCACAATATACAAGAATATTTATTAAAAACTCATTCTAAAAGAATTTAGAAAAAAACCAGGTGAGTTTTGTTCACCACTCAAATCACTGTCTCTCAGAAGCATAGATGTTGGAAAGACAAACATAACCACTCACCCCATTTGGATTCATTTAAAAAAGGTTCCGAGTTGATACATCAGTTAACTTGAGATTCCGATGTAATCTGCAAGCAGAAAGGAGAGCAGTCAAAACATCCTCTTTAGGTAGTGTCAATAATCACATATGCTTCATCTAATTTCCCCGCCTTTTCAAGCAGATCTACTAAACATGAATAATGAGTAGGTCCAGCTTTTACATTGTAGTTTCTAGTCATTTTATAGAAAATTTCTTAACCTTCATCTACTAATCCAGAATGACTAGAAGCTGATAAAACTGAAATCAAAATCCCCTCATCTGGAAATGGCCTCTTTTCCCTTCCCGTGAATTCCAAATCCAGTAACTGCTCAAGAAGCCAAATTCTTTTCCGGTATCTCAATAAAAACGTGTGCGCAAACTATTCCCACAGTTAGAGTACATGCTAATAAGGGCAACTCCAACTGCAATATTCCCTTCATAATCCTTTCTAAACACGATATGAATGAATAGATGATCTCAACAAAAAAGCCTGAGATTTTCAAGTGGCACAGTAATAACTAATAACAGTCATTTTATCAGCAGTTTGACATCCACTGAACATTTGACTGAAAAGTTCCAGAACATTAAAAGCATCGCCATGTTTTTCATATCCAAAAATAATAGAATTCTAGGACACAGTATCTTTCACTTTCAACCCTTCAAACAATTTATTAGCATCAGATATAGAATCACAGTTAAGGTGCATATCAATCAGAGAATTCATCAGAAACTCATTACAGACTTTACTATAATCACTAGTCCTCACGACCTATGAAACAGGAACACTTCTAAAAATAGGCGTGTTGCGGTATTCAACACGCATGAGCACGTCAGACAGTTGTATGACACTCTAAAGACACCTATTGAAAAAGTTAAAGAATTGTTGAAAAAGTCAAGTGTCACTAAAAAATAATTATCTTCTTTATTTCAACACTTATTGAATAAATGCTTGACATCCATAAGGCACTTAAACGAAACAACAGATCGCCACAAGCTTTAAGATCAAATAAATAAAAGGGTATGTGAAATTATCAATCTGTTGTCTGAACCTCACTATTTGACGGAAAAGAAGAAGGGAATTTTTGGGTGAAAACAGTGAGTGTTATGCGAAGCATAAAAACCATCGAAAAGGAAAATGTAACACAAAACTTTAGATATGCAACAAGGCATCGATCCTATACCTCTCGCGTGCGTGCTAAGCGAGCGGTTACATCCCATGGTGTAAGCATGTGCTTTGCAGATGTATTAATATAAATTATCTAGGTAAAAGAACAATTGTTTATATTTATTTAATACTTATTGAATGTTTTTTAATATATTTTTAGTTTTTTTAATACTTATTGAATATTTATTCTGGTGCGCTCAAATCACGTGACACCTCAATCATCTATAACGTAATTATCTTTTAAAAGTCATTGTTTTTATTTTGAACTTTTAAAAAAATATATACATATACTTATATTATTTATTTATATTATTTAATTATATAGTAACGTTACATGAGATTATAACTTAAAGGTGTGTTACTTTCCCCCTACCTCGTCTATCACCGTTCTCACCTTTAAATATTTATAGATCTCGAAATATTTTACTGCATAAAATTGAAATCCATCATTTTAACATTTATCTAGCTTCTTTGCATTTCTATGAATAGTTATTGGAAAAAGCAACACTTTAACTAAAGATTAGAGTTCAATAATTAAAATCCATTAGATTTGTCTTAGTTCTTTTTTACTAGAGACAACTCACTTTTTAGATTTATTAAATAATTAATATTTAATCTATAAATTAATCAAATACATTAATTATTCAATAAACTTAAAAAATAAATTCTCTCTTATATATATATATATATATATATATATATATATATATATATATATATATATATATATATATATATATATATATATATATATATATATATATATATATATATATATATATATATATATATATATATATATATATATATATATATATATATATATATATATATATATATATATATATGAGTGAAAATAGTAATTTCTATAGATATAAAAATTAAAAATAAAATTTTATGTGATCCTCTAATTTATAGAGTTTTTAAAATATTTTCTGATGGGGATGAATAGAAAATTTGTATGAAGAGTGTTTTTCTATCTTCTTAAAAATAAGAATCATAACTCATAAACAATTTAGGGTTATTTTTTAGTTTTCAATATTCTAATTTGTCACCTCATCAAATCAAATTAGATATTAATTTATGTTTTTAACCACAACATTGTTTAGTATTAATTAAACTCATTTAAGACTTGACTAATTAAACAATGACCCTAACACCTTTATTGTTATATTTGTGACTCAAAATTCTAACAATCTCTCACTAATTACATATGTAATTTTACACATATATTAGACTTTATGAGCTCAAAATTATATATATATATATATATATATATATATATATATATATATATATATATATATATATATATATATATATATATATATATATATATATATATATATATATATATATATATATATATATATATATATATATATATATATATATATATATATATATATATATATATATATATATATATATATATATATATATATATATATATATATATATATATATATATATATATATATATATATATATATATATATATATATATATATATATATATATATATATATATATATATATATATATATATATATCTTCAAGCATATTCAAATAATCTCGTCCATTATTTATTTATTGCAATATACAGAACCAACGTGATTTTCTTTACATAGATTTATCATGGAAATCACATGAATTTGGTTTATTCATGTCAATTTTCAACTAGTGTTACTTTACTTTAGTGAGATCATTTAATAACCTTAGTGCAACTAGCTGAATATAAAATTTTATTAATTGGAAAAAATATCAAAAACCAGAGTAGACATACATAATACCAAACATATAACACAAAATTCATAAATGACAAACTCTTACTAAACCAGATATTCCTCAAACCATAAAACACCCATGTGAGCAGTGTGCCCATGAAATACCTTAGGTGGAAGAACTTTTATGAGAGGATCTGCTATCATGGAGTTCGTCCCTAAATGTTCTATTGAAATTTGCAATTTCTTACTCTTTTCTTAGCAACTAGAAACTTGATGTCAATATGTTTTGACTTGTTCAAACTCCTATTATTATTGGAATATATGACAGGTGATTTATTGTTACAATATAACTTAAGTCGTTTTCAATTCCTTCCACAATTTGTAGCCCTGTGAAAAAGTTCCTTAACCAAATCTCATGGTAAGATGCCTCAAAGCATGCTATAAATTGAAGGTGCAAGAAACAAAAGAAAGGGATGCTTGAATTGGGTTTCAAGTATGATACATTTTTGCGACCCAAAAGAAAATCTTAGGACAATGAAAACAATGATAAAATGCTCAAGGATTTTTATCCCGGTTCACCGTTAACAAGGTTACTCCAATCCACCCACCTGAGTGATTTTGCCTTATAAAAGGACTTAATCCAATAATCAAATTGATTACAAATTCAATGACAGCCTGTCAATGATTCCTTAGAATTTTGGCCTACCCGACCCCCTAAGAAATATGACGATCATTGACTCCTTAAGAATTCTAACCTACCATGTCCTCTAAGCAGTTCAAACTCTTTGACAATATGTCAAAGCCTTCTCAAAAAATCTGACCAAACTAGTCTCTTGAGGAATACCACTAAAATTGGTTACTAGAGTTTGTATTTACAAGAGTGTTTCTAATTAAGCAGAATACACACATTGAAACTTAGGTCTTACACTTGAGAATATTTGATATGAAGCTCTAAGTGTTTTTTTTTTCTATTTTCTCTTGATGTTGATTTTCTACATTGAGATTCTTCCAGCATAGAGGAGAATAAATTCTCTGGCTCCCTATATCTCTTCATAACACGTCGCTTAAGCAACTCAATCAGATCATCTTTCTCCTTTAGTTGTTTCTACAATTCCTCTTTCTCTGAGTTAGAAGCGTGAAACTTGTTCTCCCACATCTCTTTCTCTTGCTTCATCTTAGCTAAAGCTTCTTAAAGAATTCCTCTATCATCAAAGAGAACAAGAGAAGATGATGGCTTCTCAAGAGGATAAGGCATCTTGAGT